ACTATTTTCTATCAAAGAAAACATATATTTATGGAAAACACACACCCACACTATTTCAGAGTACTACAACATACAAACATTTTGGTCTTAGATGGGATTTTCTGGGGAACATACTAACGTTTTCATGGAACAAATACAAACTTCACATACTAAATGCTTATGAACTCACCAACTTAAATGTTGATACTCTCTTTTCAAAATAATTGTTGAGCATCAGCGCTACCGGTTGATCTAAAACCAATTGGTGTTAGAAAGGGGGCAACCTTACCCATATAGCGCATTCAGCCCTCCAGGACCAGGCATTCTATTGCGGCACTCCAGGCCATCGTGCGAGGACTTGGTCGATGTCAAATTTGACCCCCAACAATCCCCCCTCAGAAATTGCTCCCTGAGAGAATAGAACCCTCACCACTGGCTCTGATACCACTTGTTGAGCATCAGCGCTACCGGTTGATCTAAAACCAATTGGTGTTAGAAAGGGCGCAACCTTACCCATATAGCGCATTCAGCCCTCCAGGACCAGGCATTCTATTGCGGCACTCCAGGCCATCGTGCGAGGACTTGGTCGATGTCATTTCTGACCCCCAACAATAACTTGTATTCTCAGGGAACCAGTAAACATGTACACTCACACAGGTTTTTGAGAAGCTGGAGCCTACTCAAGACTCTCTTTTATATTGCTTTACATTTGGGTGTCATACATTCAACTCTAAGAACACACGTGTATTAACTAAATTTTATATACAATGGATGTTGTTGCTTGTTTTACTATTATGCAATTGTTATGATACTGTACATGACGTCCTCCGCCCCCGAACGTTTCTGCCGTTCCGGTTTGGGGGTGTGACATTGGCTATTTTATGCTTAGATCTAGAGCTAGTTGAGTGTTGAGTACATTTTGGTCCCATGAATGAGTTCTAGTAAGTAAATGATACTCCATAAGATTTAAGTTGTCCCTTTTGATGTTTCTGAGGTTCCTAGTTCATAAAGTTTGCATCTTGGTGGTTGTAATTCAACCATGCATGGGTTAATGATCATTCGATGGAAGTAGAATGCCAAATCTTGGGTTTGTGTCTCTTTAAGCCACGCAAAGGAATCAAGTTAGTAGCTTTATCGTTTAATACATTCCCCAAGATCTGGATCTTTAATTTGGACATTTGGACTTAAAGCATTACGTGCTTAATGACATTTGGCTAACTGGAGCGTACGCGTCTAGGTTCCCGACACTTTTGACGCAATCTAGTACGCTGGGCGTAACTGGTGGTACGCGGGGTGTAACTGGTGGTATGTGGGGCATACTCACCAAAAAGCCTTTTTGGGCCTGAAGTCGATTGGGCTTGGGCCATGGCTTTTTGGGCCTAGGATAGGAAGGGAAAAGTGGTCTTTTACCCTTTATGAGAGGGATTATGATTCAGGCCTTTTGTTGTGGTTATCACCCTGATTATTCATTTGACCTAGTTTGTATGTGTTCAGTTGAGGAGACATCATAGCAGCAGCCTGTAAGTGTGTGTCGGTTCATCAGTTGGTTGAGGTGAGTCTCCTCACAGTGTTTAGCGGGTCGAATGCACCAATATCGGCCCATAGATTATTGTTAATAGCATTCTAGTTGTTTGCGTGACTCTTACATGTGTTCTATGTGTCTGTATGTATGTCGGGCGGGGCCTAATGAGTGTGATGGGTGGGGCCCATCACATGTTACGATCAGATCTGTACCGAGCGAGGCTCGATGTCGGGTGGGGACCGATGGATGCCAGGCAAGGCCCATTGTATGTATGGAATGGGGTATGTTAGGGAAACTCACTAAGCTTTGTGCTTAGAACTTTTAGTTTATGTTTCAGGTACTTCCTGTGCGAATGGCAAGAGCTCGGGATGACCGCATCATACACACCTTGATTTTCCACTCTATTTGACTCTAATGTATTTTTGGATGACTGTTGACATACCCTGATTTCCTTTATGATTTCTATAAACATGTTTTGGTTGATGGTTTTATTAATACATAAATGAAATTTTTGGTTATAAATTTTGGGACGTTACAGTCACATTGAAAGGATTTAATTTTGTTGTTGAATTGGGTTTGAACATAAGCACGAAAATGTATAAATTTATCAAACACTTCATTTTCATATCTTAAAGGGTATACCCAAAGAAAATGAGAATAGTGATCAAGAAACAACACATAATAATTAATGTCACTAACACTCACAATGGGAGATGTCCACAAATCTGAATGAATTATTTTCAAATGATCATAAACAATAGCACGAGAATTAGAGAAAGGTAAACGAACATGTTTTCCACGCCGACACAATTCACAAGAAAAAGAAGACTTAGGTTTATTACGTAAAAGAAAATTTCTAGAAATTAATTTTTTTATCATGTGATGATTGGGGAGACTAAGACGTTGATGCCACAAAGTAAGACTCAATGAAATGAAAGCAACACATTGACTCGGCTTGGAGGACATAGGATAGAGATCACCCGAGCTGTCAGATCTAAGGGGTGCCTAACGGGTTAGGAAGTCCTTCACTGAAAAACCAAAATTGTCAAATTCAATAGTAACATTATTATCAGTAGTGAACTGACGGACAAATATGAGGTTTTTGATTATATAGGGAGTAACAAGGACTTTGTGTAATTGAAGGGGATGGTGTTTGGACGAGATTATAGTGTGACCAGTGTTAGTGACAAGAATAGATGAACCATTGCTAACAAGTACACAATTAGTATAATTCTTATTTCCAAGGGAAGTAAGTTTACCTAAGTCTGACGCCAAGTGAGAGGTAGCACAGGTGTCCATATACCATGTAGCATCTAACGGATCGTTGAGAGAGACGGTGCTAAAGGCCTTGGCTATGTCGGTTGGTTGATCTGCTGATGTAGGGGGAATCATTACCATGGAGGTGGTAATATTAATTTTTATTAATTGTTATTTGTAGTATTGTACCAAATATGATATACTTTCAAATTTTATTTTTGTCCGCCTCCTCCATACATAATTGTTAAGATAAAAACTTCATTTTTATACTTTTGTGCTCCACTTTGCAAAGGATTACTTGAGACCTCTAATTTTTTCAGCACTCTGCTTATGTTCTTATTTCTTGAAGATGATAAAAGATTAACAAACGTTTGAATGTAATTACAGTTGTTTCTTGCTTGATTTTATATTATCAAAACATTTTGGTTCAGGATAATCACCATAAAACTTCATAAATCAGCATCATTGTGGTAGGATATAACATTGTAGTTTGTAATTTTAGGTTATGGTTGAAAGTAACTATGTTGAAAGTTGTCTCAAAATTTCTCTCACAAACCTTATCCATGTCGAGTTGTATTTTTCAATATATCGGGCTTCCGCAGCATCGTGTGGATGGTCCAAACCTTAGTTTTTATAATATAACATTGACCGAGCCTAATTTCTCTACATTGTAATTTGAAAAAACTATAACAAACTATGAAGCCGGGTACCCGTATCGGAACCGGTACCCGCCAGTTTCGGGAGTGGTTCCGAAATTTAAAGAACCGATATAACCGGTTTCGATTCCGGTTCCAACATTCCACAAACCACCAGTTCCGGTTCTAGAGAATTAAGGCGGGTACCCGACTATGTTTATCCCTACTTTAGTTCATATGAATATATTTTTCAACATGTTTTAGTTAAAACAAATTTTAATAACTTTTATAAATATTTTAGATTTAAAACTTTCAAATAAACTATTTAATTTAAAGCTCAGTTTTATGTTTTTAATTCGTTTCGTAAACAAAATAAAAATAAACAACATCTAGGGTGCTACTATATGTACCCATCTCATTCACATAAATCATTACATCATAGGGTACACAAATACTATTATACTCATATAAGGAGGTACACACTGTAATTGGGGGTATGTACAAAATTTTCTATTAAATATAAAAAAAAATGTTGTTGTCATGTTCCGTCACAGTTTAATGAATGCTGACACAGCCGTCGGCCACCACCTAAAGGATGGGGCGGCTTATTTAAGCATAAATCGTCCAACCAAAGCGTTACAATTTTGAATGAAAACAACAAAAACATCCAAACATAACTTTGGCTAGAGGAGACTTATTTAAGGGTCTATTTTTATTTTTTGTATCAAAACTATTAGTATGCACATAACAAATCTAGAATGTTTGTAGACCACCAACTTAGGATCAAAGATGTTATTCCTCCGATTGCTTGTTGAAGTAATCGACCACTTGAGGAGGCCATCAATTTTGGCTAGAGGAGGCTTTTAATTATATGTTCTTATAATTAATTTTTGTTGGTAACTCTTATCCCTTTACATATTTATACTACGGTGGGCTTTTTAAAATATTTTTAAGTCAAACACTTTAAGTAACCAAACCCTTCTAATTAATTACTTTAATTAATTATTTGATTATAAAATAAAATATTTTTTTTATTTTCTTTTATTTTTATTGTTTGTATGTTGTACATTATATCCCGGATTAGGATCTGCCTCTTCAGCATCCGGCGGTTGAGACTAGGATTGGCTGTTTGTATTTAGACATGGGATCCACCATTAATAATGTTTATAACTCAATGATGAAGATAAGAAGCAAGACTCCAAGCATGAAAGAAATGGCTCCAGTACTCTAATTATACCTATTAAATGGCTCCAGTACTCCAAGCATGAATGAAATGGCTCCAGTACTCTAACTATACCCGATTGACATTAGAGCATAGTTAAATTTAACTAAACACAAATGATAACATATATAAACCAAATGAATGGGAATATATAACAATAAAATAGGTAAATCCTTCTAAAACAACAACAGATGAACAACTCTGAGTTTAACCTCTATCACTAGCACCTACCCTACATAATTCAAAGCAAAACCCTGATCTAATTTTTTCTATTTGTTTCCCTTTTCTATTTTTTTTATCATCATTTAAAAAAAAATCTTAAAGCTCCCATATCCCTCGTCTTTATGATACAACAACCTGATCACTCGTTTTTATAAGAACTTTGTCAACCTGATGAAGTCACAACAACCTCAATACGTCTAGATTCACTATTGCCACTTCGGACACTTGAGTGTTTTGAATCACTATCACAAATAACCTCAAAGCTTGAACGTTGTGATTCACCATTAATAGCACCATTATAACTTCCTACGCTAGATTCTCTTACTGGACACAGTTGAGCCACCTTCTTCACTTCTTTACCTTTACCCCACAATACAGCATAGAGTCCAACGATTATCAATATCGCACCCAAGACACTGCAATAAATGAAGTGACACCTTCTAAATATTCTTATAAAGAACATGAAATTAATTCTTCCATGCACTTGAAAACAATATAAAGATAAAGACTAAAGAATATAACATACCTTCCCAAGTGTAGGCTCTCATTCAAGACTAAAGATCCAGCGATAGCCACAAGTACAAGCATTAAAGGATTAAAAGCCGACACAAATAACGGACCTCTCATTTGCACACAACATGCAATAAATGTGAACATTAAACCAGATGCCAACATACCCTATCAAAATATGTTTTGATGTGTTAGGAAATGGACAACAAAAACTTCACAAATAGCAAAAAATTTAATTAATTGTATGCGATGTTAAAATACATACCGTATAAGCCACTGTTAGAAGTCTAATGTTCCAACCAAGCTTCCAATCACCCCAATGTCTTTCGGTGCATAACCCAAACCCGACTGCTTGTACAGCACCCAATGACGATGTGAGGGCTGTGACTGAATAAGGGCAAGGATATTTTTTGACCAAATTTGTCTGATAGCATAACAACAAACATGAAAAATATTAGTTTTAACCATTATTACATAATATTTTCTTTGCTTTTTTTTAATAAAAATATTATGTAAAACAATCATGCCTATACAAAACAGTTGGTTATATACTTGTTGATAAGTAATTTTATTAAAACTATTTCATTATTAAGGTCCGTTTAATGAAGTGATAACTTTTTATTATTCTTTTGCCAAATGATGATCATCAATTTTGCAATAGTAAGTTTACTTATTTTAGTCATTATTTTTATGATAATCTCTTCATTAATATAAACAGACCTGAATGATTAACCAGATGGAATAACTGATGCAACTACCCATGGCCAATAAAGAGCCTAAAACCCTATCATGGCTTGAATGTTGACCACCTAGTCCATGTTGTTTACCATGAAAAAGGTCAACGTTGGTCTTCCATAGGTGAAGGTCAATGCCCTTATAAAAAGTCAACAACATGGCCCCACCAACCCCACATACAGTCCCTAGGACTTTAGCTGCACCAGGGCTACTCTTCCAACCCAACCTTTCCATCCTGAAAATCACAGCAATTTATAACATATTAATGACTATATTTATTGCATTTTTAGTGGTTCTATATTATTGAAAAAAGAAAACTAACACTATCTAAACAAAAACTAATATTTAATATTTAATAAAAGAAAAGAAAAAGAGCAAATATAACATTATTAATAGGTTTTCATAAAAAGGCCTAAATTTTTTTATGTTTCACAACTATCCACCAATTTGAGAAGTCCCTTATTTTAAAGCTGCTTTCAAAAAATTTCCTTAATTTTTACACCAATTTTGTTTCGAAAAATCTCCCTCCACAAAACACTTCATTTTTGCATCCAGAATTCTATTTTTGCCACGAAAATGGTTTTTGAAAATCTTCACAACAAAAATAACCTCAAAAATAGATTGTTTTTTTAACTAAATTGTCCATTTTTAGTAATATAAACAATTTCGTCGTATATAGAAAAAACAATGTCATATTATCGAATTATTTTTATTTTTAATATAAAAAAACATAGTTTTAAGCATATAGTGATGGCCCATTACAAAACTGGTAATTCTTTTGGGATTTTTTTTTTGAATAAAATAACTATCTTGTTGGAAGCAGTTCCTCAATATGGCTATTTTTGTCTTTATATCTGAAAATAAACTCTCCATAATTTATATAATCTAAACTTTATACAATGAAAGATATTATATAAAAGTTTTTTTTTACCTAAAACAAACCGCAAGTACGAAGGTAATGGCGGGGATAAGATTGGTGGTAGCCGCTGCGAATGTGGCTGATGTCAAAGATAACGCTTTTATGTAGAAATTTTGTGCCAGCGAGCCACTGCAAATTAAATAAAAACTTGTAGTTTTGTTTTTTACCACAAAAAAAGACGACTACAAGAATAAAAAGTACATAGTGAAAGAAAACATTCTAAAAATAAAACAAATTTGAACCAAAAAGTTATAATATAAAGCTTTTCAAAAACTTCACGTAACCCTTTTACTATTTTTGGATACAATGATTCCTAGTTATTTCCGCAGTCCAAATATAGCTTATGCATTTTATTTGTATATATAAAAAACGTGTACTTTAGAATATAAATTAAATGATTAAGGATTAAATTAAATCTAAGCATTTCCTTTTTTGTCACGTAAAAGTAGAAATGTCTATCGGTATTTGGGAGAGATTAATGAAGGTCACATTCACATATCTCTATGCTACAGCTAACACCTCAGCTACCTCATAACTAATTCTTTATATTAATCCTCTAAAAATTAAATTATTAATATTCAAAATAAAAAATAGATATGTAGAAAAAAAAACATAAATTTAAAAATAAAGCTAATAATAATACATACCCAAATAGACCACAACAAAAGGCTTGCAAGAGTATCATCCATGTCAATTTTGGCCTTTTGTTCCTGTAAGAAATATCACCACCTTAATTAGAAGGACAAATTTCATGAATTGTTTATCTGAATAATATTAAGAATAAATTATATTTTTAAGTGTTATAATAACTCATTTTTTTCAATTTTGAGCCGAAAAGCTTTTATCTTATAATTTTGCTCTTTAATTGAAGTTGTTATAACCTCTTTAAATTTTGTTCCAAGTAAAATAAATAAATGACTATTGTATTTTCATAAAGTAGCATATCTATGAACCAAAAATAATCAGAAACAAAAACAAAAAAATGTTCGGATAACCTCAAATAAAAAAAAACATAAAGTTTTTTGAGTCAAAATTTATAAAACTCATCTATACTCAGGACAAAAAAAAAAAGTCATAACTTACTCTAATATTAAGCATTACAATTTCATTAATTCTCTTTTGAGATTTTTAATTAAATTATTTAATAAATTTCCATTTTCTATAGCTCATTGGTCTCATTTCAAAAGAGACACTTTAATACCAAAATCAGTAAAACAAAAAGCTTTTCAACCACATTTTCTCAATCTTTTTCTCGAATTTATCCCTTTTAATTTTCTACATATTAGCCTTCAATTTTCTTTTAATTACACAAATAAATATATTCTATAAGAAATCTGATCATTGTATACATGTAAAACAAATTAGTTTAATTTAGATGTTTCTGCAAAAAAAAAAAAATGGATTTCGTTCGTGGGTATGCAAGAACATCGAACAAAATGCATGATGTTTCTACGATATATCATTAAAAATTCTGTTTTTCTTATTCTTACGTATATATATATATAACCAATCAAAAGAAAGAATCCGAACCTTTCAACCACAAGTGCAAGTGGAACAATGAATGCAGTGGAGAAGATAAATCGATAGGCGACAAGAATAGGAAGATTCATGCCATCATTAGCCGCCAGTTTGTAAAGAACATTAACTCCGGCAAACGTCGTCTGAACAGTCACCATCAGCAACACCGGCTTCAGATCATGAATGACGTTGCAGAACTTCTCCACCGTTACCATTTTATAAACCCTGAAAACCAGAAATTTTCAAGCAAGAAGAAAATGGAGAAAAAATATTAGTGTTTTTTCTCCTCTTCTCTCGCTTGATTAGCTAATAAGTATTGAATTAACTCCTTCTGAAAGAACTAATACGTCTATATAATTTCAATTCAAAAAAAATTGGTGAAACGTTTGGGCATATATATGAGAAAATTGAAGAGGAGAGAGCGAGTCTATTGGCGTCTGTTCTTGAAACAGTAACAAGAAGAGAAGAACGTGTTGTATAAATACTGAGCATGTTGTAAAAGTAAGTTTTGATGAATGACAAAAGGCACCTTGAAGTATTTACCAGTTGTCAAAAACAGTCAGCAAACCGGTGAAAACAATATATAGTAGAAAGTAGAAACTCGATAAATTAATTCTCAATTATTTAATAAACTCTCTAATATAATATTTTAGGTGGGTTTGATTTGGGGATAAGATGTTAAAGTAATAATTAGTTAATAATATAAGATACTATGTTTTTGATAATTTCTAAAGACCCGTTACAAAATATAAATTAATAAATTATAATATAATGAATGATTTATGAATGCTTTTTGAAAAATGACTAAAATGTCTTTTTTTTTTTTTTTTTTTTTTGTTTTTAAATCAATTTTACCTTGAATTTCATTTCTAATTATCTTTATTATTGTAAGAACTTCTAGTGTTGTGTTTTCATAGCTTTTTTTTGAAACGATAAATATATTAATATAGAGGCACCTCGAATTAGCAAGAAACTAAAACGAGGGCAAACAAGGAACAAAAAACAATCAGACTAAAGAGGAGATATACTCCAGTTCAACCAATTACAATCTTCTAATTTACTCCTATGCTTAATCCAAGAGAATGATAAGGAGATGATGTTATCGGTCACCATCGAGGGGGATGAGAGTAAGTTGTTAAACACCTTGTTGTTGCGAGTTTTCCAGATGTTCCATATTAGACAATAGACAATTGTTATGAACCTAAGTTTCTTTTTGGGACAGTTTGCCCATCTAGCTGCAAAGTCAAGGAGATCCACAACATTATACATCCTTGGAGCGGCTATGTTGCACCATTTGAAGATCCAAAACCGACAGAGAGTGGCGAAATTGCATTCAACCATCAGGTGATCGATGGTTTCCATGGAAGTGTTGCAAAGGGGACAAAGATGAGAGGGTAGATGAATACCTCTGCGAAGGAGTTTGTCCGCCACGGGTATACCACCGAGCTTTGCACGCCATATAAAACTTGAGACTTTAAGGGGAACCGTTTTGATCCATTTGATCGTTGGGCCAATGTAGGGCTGGAATTTGGAGTCCAAGAAGTGTTTCATTAGATTTACTGAGAACTGCCCGTCATGCGAGATGGAGAAACGGAGTTTGTCTGGAAGATTGCTAAGATAAACATCAGCAATTAGCGAGTTAAGGGCTGTAAGTTCAGAAACGGCATCGTGACTGATGGGTGTGGATGACCAGGACCATGAATTACCTCCAGGTGGACATCTTTCTTCTAGCGAGCAAGATTTATTTGATTCGAGGGCAAAAGAGATTAGCAAATTTGTCTTGAAGTCTAGTAGAACCCAATCAGATATCTTTCCAGAACATTGTGGAGATCCCATCCCCAACAGAGATAGAGAATATATCATGGAATTTGATTTATGCATTGATGCGAGATGCAAGAGCTTTGGAGATGTTAATCCAAACATCTGGTAAGGTTTTTTTTGGATATGGTATCTTTCGGGTTATTTTTGAGGTTATGAATGCTTTTGATGGTGTCGTACCAAAGGCCATGTCACACCCCCAAACCAAGGATGGCGGAAACGTCCGGGGGTGGAGGACTTCATGTATAGTATCACAACAACGAGTATAATAGTGCTCAAAGTAAATACAACCATCATAAATATAATTGAAAAAGAATTTCATGGTTTCAAGTGTTACATATTTCAATGATTGATTACAACATGATATAAAAATAGTTGTTCAACGCCGTAGCGTTCCATCCTCAAAAGCTTGTGGTTACCTGGTTTCGTTGATTTCCTGATAATACAAGTAGTTTTGAAAAATTGTCAACAATTAAGTTGGTGAGTTCATAAGCTTTTTAGGTGAAGAGTTTGGAAACCGATCTTTGTAATGAATTGTGTGATACCAAGAAAAATCCAATATTTTCCTTATATAATGCATTGTAGTCTTAAAAGTCAAGACCGAAAGTGTACAGTAATATCCATACTTATTGATATAAAAAAGTGATTTTAAATCGACATAAAACCCTTTTTGATTTGAGAAAATCCCCGTAAACTTTATGTGTTGTTAACTCCCTATGTGAGTCGCTATAACCATACTATGACTAATGAACCTACCACGGCGTTTCTCAGGCGTCGAAAAAGTTAATGACACTTGTCATCCCAGACCTGCCGGTCTAGCTGTTGCATGCAGCTCAGGTGTGGTCTGTCAAACCCAATATAGATCTATACACAACTATCACGTTCTCCCTACAAGAGACTCTGGTTATAACTACTAGGAATTTTAACCCGTACTCTAGAAGTACTAAGAAGAATGTCTCACAATTTACGTTAACAAGTTTACGTGTAGTGTGCGTGGGTGTAAAACCTTTTTCTGTGGGAATAAAACCTTCCGAAATGTGTTTGTTGTGTTAATGGAAACATAAACTATACCTATTATAGTTTAACATAATTGTTTGTAATGTGTATGAAACATAAACTATACTTACCATAGTTTATCATAAGTGTTTGTAATGTAAAAGAACCTTTTTCTATGTAAGTCGAATGCATAGCAAAAACATAACTATGTTTATCATGCATTGTCTTGTACTATTGTTAATGATGGAGGATTCTTACAAATTAGTGAGTATTTTCTGTTATATAACTATACCACAACAAGAAACACATGTAAAATATGAAATCCTCAAAGATTAACACTTTTCTCAACATGTTACAAAGTGTGATGAAAGTTATAAGCTGTTGATTTGTTTTTAACATTTCTGCACTGCCTTAGAAAAATCACAGAAAAATCATACGAAGTCGAAAACTAAATCCATAAACTCTGAGAGTTTAGAAAATGTGTCTAGTTTGTCCATAAATTTTATTATGATTTTTAAAAGTCTCTAACTGGTGTGAAAACGTTCATATTCACTGACTGGTCCGAATTCGTAGCTACAGTGATAGGCAGTTTTGTAAAAATCACCATAAATAGTAGAAAAATAGTATGGACATGTGCAAGTAGTCATTTTAAAGGTATAAACCTGAACTATTTACACCTAATACAGTTTTGAAAACTAAAAAGTTTAAGATGTCTAAAACAGTTCGTGAATGAACATTAACTTTTCTGTTGAAAGCTGATGTTTGAGTTTAGTTAAGTTGTTGGTGTTTTTACTTGTATTCCCCCCTAAAACTTGAAAAAAGCATGAAAATGTGGGGGTATGAACTCACCTTGAGTGATTTCAGAAGATGGATGATGAAGAAAAGAAGTTTTCAACTCAAGAACACTTAGAAGATGCTTGAAGATTCGAAGATCTAACAACAAATATGACGATATTTGTGTAAGGAACTCATGATTTGAGTGAAGATGTGTAAGGAAATCAAGTGTGGGAAACGATTTACTTACCAAAGGTGTGTGAAGAGCTCAAGATCAGCCTTGAATCTCGAATTCTTGGTGAGAGGAAGTGAGAGAGAATGGGTTTTGCTTTTTGGTGAAAAGTGAGTGAAATGGGAGGAGAGATAAAGATCCTTCTAGCCTTTGATCAAGATTATGGCTGGAAATGAGTGTAAAAAGGACAATGATTGACTAGGTATGGGTGAATAGTGACTGGGAATGGTCATGTAGTGGGTAGGGGAGGTAACTTGTGTCCTTGCCCAAAGGATAAGTCAACACTCCACCTAAATATCTTATCCAATAGATTTTATTCTTAGACTAAGATTTTCCCTCAAAACTGATTAATTTATGAATATTTAGGGTCTTATGTGCCAAAATATGAGTTTGGGTGAAAATCTCGCGTTAAAATCACGAAAAACGGGTTTAAAACGGAGTTGGGGTCAAAAACCGGGAAGAAGTTGCGAACAGCCGAAGGCAGGAGGCGAGGTTCGGTCTTAGAAGCTTAGAACCGAAGGGAGGGCTCGACTGATGGATTAGAACCGATAGGAGGGCTCGGTCCGAGCAGTCTCGCAGGCGAACACATCAGAAGAGGGACCGAAGGTGTACTGAACCGAAATGCTTGTTTCGGACCGAGAGGACTTAATCCGAACCGAAGGGTGAGTTCGGTCCCATATGTAGTTTCAGTCTTATGCAGGTTCGGTCCTTATGGTTCGGTTCTTAAAGCTATGTTCGGCTCCTAAGAGGTTTCGGCTCCTTAAGAGGGTTCGGCTCCTTAAGAGGGTTCGGCTCCTTAAAGCTGTTTTTTTGGCATAAACTTTCGTTTTCGAGTTGTTTTTGACTAAATCAAGGGTCGGGATGCCCCGGGTGATTATAAAAAGTTGAGAGAGATTTTGAGAGAGATTTGGGAGAGATTTCTCATACTTAGAGAGATTTGGGAGAGATTTCATATACTTGGAGAGATTTCTCATACTTAGGGAGATTTGGGAGAGATTTCACATACTTAGAGAGATTTGGGGAGAGATTTCACATATTTGGAGAGATTTGGGAGGGATTTCACATACTTGGAGAGATTTCTCATACTTAGAGAGATTTGGGAGAGATTTCACATACTTGGAGAGATTTGGAAGAGATTTGAGGTAGAGAGAGATAGAGCGAGAGATATTGAGAGAGACTTTGTTCGCGACCTTTGCGAGTGTTTTAACTTCGAAAAGCAAGGTTTGTAAACCCCGTTTTGCCTTGTTATGAGCGTTATACGCCCCTGAAGGGTATGTATTAATGTTTTATTGAGTTGATCCATCAGTTACACTGATTAGGGTTTAGAATTTCCGAACACGTGAAAACTCTAAGTGATACTTTGTATTAAGATTTCGAGTTGTACAATAAGAAACATAATGGAAACCCTAATATACAAGGGTTAGATGAGTTGACCAGTTTGACTCGTTGACTTTAGTTGACTTTGACTTGACCAAAAATTGACGGTTGTCACAGGCCAGTCTCCCCTGATCTTAAACTCCATATCCATTTGGTGATCAATGCGATGTTATGGGTTTCTAAGCACCCAACCCCAAGACCTCCATTATTTTTGGATGCGAGGATTTTTTCCCAAGCAACCCAGTGGATCTTTCGTATGTCATCGTTTCCACTCCATAGAAATTTCCTGCGTAATTTCTCAAGAACTTTTATGATGCAAGTAGGAGCTTTGAAAAGAGAGAAGTAATAGGTAGGAAGACTTTCAAGAACGGATTTGATCAGGGTTAACCGACCTCCCATTGAAAGTGTATTGGCCTTCCACTTGGATAATTTTGATTGAAACTTTTCGATAATAGGCAGCCAATTTTTTTTGAGTCCCATGTTGGCTCCTACCGGAACTCCCAGATAAGTGAATTGTAATACACCATCCAGACATCCATGTGTGTGAGCGCATCGTTTTACTTCTAGACTAGAAGTGCATATGCCGAAAACACGCAATTTGTTGAAGTTGACTTTTAGTCCTGACAATAAGACCATGTATCTGATTTCTGTGAGACTTGTTATTTATAAACCCGTGGAAGAGCCTGGTGTTCTCATCTCCATCCTTAAGCCATCTAATCTTTGATTTCTTCTTTAGATCAAGCTTCTGGATATGATTGAGGAAATTATTCAATGTGATTATTGCTTTAATAGCCTCATTTTGCGAAGGGAGCCCATGGTAGAACTTTCATTATCTTTATTCAATGTGATTATCACTTTAATAGCCTCGTTTTGTGAAGGGAGCCCATGGTAGAACTTTCATTATCTTTATCAGCACCAATAATGATTTTAATAATTTATTCATCAGTCAAAAATTTGAGCAACTACAATTTCTTTTGGGTGGTTTAGGACATCTTCGACATCCATAGCATTGTGATAACACAACTCTGATCAAACTTCGAAGTTCTTAAGTGCTTTCACCACCTACCTATTAATCAGAGCCATGTTAACTGTTGATTGAAGTTTACAATGATGAAATCGGTTTGCAATTACATTTGCACGACATATACATACTGAAATTGCAAGATTTGTTGCATCTAACACATTTATTTTTGCTGGATTCATAACTCTCCAAAATACTTCTATAAAATCGAAGAAGAAAATGCATCTTAAAAGCTTATATAATCCCCGACATCACAAGGTTGGATTTTTGAAGTTGTGTTTGGTGGAAAAAAAACCAACATTGTTGGAACGTTCCAAATTTCAAACCGAATTTATCGTTTTCAAATACGACTTAACTTACCAAAAACATCATTTAAACAAACAACACAACATCCAGTTTGTCCAAAATCTTAAACCATAAGATTAAATAACAGTTAATTAGTTTACTAGCGAAAGTATCAAACTAATAAAATAACATCGATGTGAATGTATAATCACGACACACCCTTCCCTTTCGTACTAGAGTAAAATGAAAAACATTTCACTTAACAATGTAAGCACAAAACTTAATGAGTTCCCTAGTATACCACATATTTCATCACACATACAATACATACAACAATCAGCCCACGAATTACCTCATGCATATCAAGAGTTGGTTCCCAACCATCATATAATTGTGGGCTCCCAGCCTAAAGTCTCCTAG